GAGGCTCCTGGATGAGTGGTGCGCAGCAGTGGGAGCTGGCCCTCCCCTCCCCATGCCCCCTGGACAAGCTGTTGGTCTGACACTTGCCCACCCTGCCCTGCCCCGACTGGGCAGTGCTTGCCCCACTCCTCTCTCACGGTGGGGGACATTAATCTGCCCCTCCACACCCCTTCCATCCCCTATCCCCTTCCATCACATCAGACTTACCAGCTGCATGCAGCTCTCCAAGCTGCCTACATGCTGCACTGCAGCTGGGCACACGCACAGGCATTTATCAGCCACATCGGGCTGCGGGGGGGGGGGGGGGGGGGGTTCCCCCTGTTAGGGGGTCAACCCTGAAAGGTGATCCATTTGAGAATAATCAGTCTGTCTAAATGTAGAGTCGCATGGTGTGGAAGGGAACATGAGTTGTATAATTAAGATCAGTGCGTCTACCAAGCGAAATTGGTGTTCTTTTCGGAATCTGCTTCAGAAACAGGGTTCTAAAAGGTACTTGTGTGTGTTGCTGTTCTAGGGGGAGTAATTTTCCTACTGACTCTCACTGGGACTTGTTCTCTTCAAATTTAGAATCTCTTCCTACGTGTAAGCTTATTTTTAATAACAAAGCAATATACTGCATATGTGTATTATTCAAACTATGAAATTTCTTCCCTGTTTTCAGTTTGTGAAGTGTGGATATGCAGGCTCCAATTTTCCAGAACACATCTTTCCAGCTTTGGTTGGAAGACCAATAATAAGATCAACTGCCAAAGTGGGAAACATTGAAATCAAGGTAATATTTTTTTCCTGCTATAGTGGGTAGAAACATTCAGAGTAGCCTTTCAGTTATGTAATGCATGAAAATGTTTGCCATCCTCTGGCAGTCCTTCTGATTCACTGCTTTATTGAACTTTGAAACTTTTCTCTGTTGGGTCATTATGTGGTAGTCAAGAGGGTAGAGAGATGTTACTGGGGGGGGTGGGATTCTTGGGATTTGGGTGGGGTGCAGTTATGAACAGAAGGGGCCTCAAATCTTGTGAATAGATGTGGGAAAATCGGGCAAAAGCAGTGGTGTTGCCATTCAGCCTTAATTCAAGATTATGGGAGAACAGAAGCAACTTAATGTGAGGTAGATGGCATGGCTCTGTAGTGTGTTAGCTGTTTTACAGTAGCTGCCTGTGTTCCTGCACTTATCGCTGTAGTGAATGAAAGTTATTCCTTGGCAGCTTGCCCTTCTTTCACTAATTTTTCATTTACCCGAGGGAGATGCCCCTTGTGAGCTGCTCTTCAGTAAAGCCTTGCCTTTCTCAGTCTCCCAGTAACTTGTTTAGGACAATGTATAATGACTATAACTGTCAATGTCTTACTTTGTGAATAGTAAAAAAAAAATATATATAGCATAATACAAATTAGTTGTAAGCAAGACCATCTGATCCTGTGTGAGATGCCTAACCTTGCTTGTATTTATTTTTCCTTATGCTTTGATTACTGATAGTGAAGTTAGTGCTTTACAAGGCATAGGGAGACACCTGGTCCCTACTCTGAGGAGCTTACAGTCTAAGAACTCAGGTGGTATTTCAGGTTTGGAAAATAAACCTACATATTGGCCCGGACTGGGAAGCTTTTCCCAGAGAACTTGGGAGCCTAAGTTTCTGCTTGGGATTACGAAGATAACACTTTGGCTGTAAGTACATGTGGTGCAGATTTCTTGAGTCTGCAAACAAATGTTCAGTTTGTTTATTTTCAGTTTTGGTTTTCAATGAACTCTACCTAGCAATGCAGCAGCAGAGTGAAGTGAGCCATTCCGTGTCACTAATGATAACTCAAACTGTATAGACAGCAGTGAAACTACCAGTTATATCTTAGTTTCCTGCTGCAGAGGGCAGCACTAGTTATTCTGTTGGGGGAAAGATCTTATAAATTGCAGGTAAGAAAGCTAGAGTAGCAAGAGATCCTTCATTTAAACTTCCTCAAACAGTCAGAAGCTGCAGAGCAAGAGATTTGTTCCTTTCACAGTAAGTAGGAGGATCTGGACAGAAAAAAGAGAAGTGCCCCCATCTTTCTAGCTGCTGTACTAGGGTTTGTTGAAGCCTCATATTTTTCAGACATCTGCTTGTAGGAACATGATGTGAAAATTTAAATTCCCCAACCAGAGTCCAGCTACAGTCCTGGCAGAAATCTCATTGCCCTACAGAACAGCTGGATGTGGCAAGGCGCTGAACTTCCCAGCAAGGAATTTCGCCTGATACTCATCAGTGGATCTGCACCTTGCTTAGACCAAAAGCTTTAGGGTTCTGATGTATTTTTTGCAAGGGCTCACTTTTCCAGTGCAGCCATCTGGCTTTTGAACATGTCAAAATTTGACTTGGTGTTAACAAAGGTGCTAGGATCAGCTGAAGGAGGTGAGGGTTCTTTCTACACCTACCCACTGTATGCGAAGCTTGCCTTCCCAAACATGGAATCACTCTAATATGTTTTAATGGGGAGCAGGGCTTTGTGCCCTGATCTTTTTTCTTAAACAGTGTACAGCAATTGTTGCCATAAGATAAGGCTAAAAAAAAAAAAACTTGAGGGGGAAGCCATGTGACACACACCTCTCATCTCCCTTTCTGACCGTATGGGGGATGTTTTTGGTAAGAAGTTTGACTTGTAAAATTTTTACTATTGCTGTTTAAAAAAAAATAAAATTTTTTTTTAAAGTTATACTAACACTCAAATGAATTAATTTAACTACAAACGGTAGAGCTCTTTATGAATGTTTAGAGTCCTGAGTACAGAAGGCTGATGAGATTTATTAATTTAACTTTTCAAAAATATCCTGAGCATATTTGGCTTTTATGTGAGCCAGTTGCAAGAACTGAGTGAAATGGGCCCCAAAGAAGGGCTCTTTTAAAAAAAAAAAAACAAACAAAAAACAACAACAAAAAACCAAACTCACAACCCCTCTTCCCACCCCCCCCACCCCCCCAAAAAACGAAAAAAAGAAAAAAAAACATGTTTGACAGCATCTTCATCCTCCATTTAGGGGGGGGAAAAAAGCTGTTTCCCATATTCACAGCCCCACAGTTCAGAGAAATGAGTACACAATGGTTCAGTTTTCCCTGGCACAATTTCCCCAAAATTCCAGCTTGGCTAAAGCAGTGGAGTTTGGGTATAAACCATGCTTTTGGCACTTGTTTATTCATACAGCTTTTGACAGTATCTTCAGCAGTTTTTGAACCTGGTTTGCTGAAAATATCTGGCTCAGGAAGCCTGAACTATGCCAGGCTTTCAACTGGATTTAAAAATCCATTTTGCTTGGGCCAGTGTTTAAAAAAAACAAATGAGAGAGAGAAATTTTGAGTAGACAAATCCGAACTGTTTGGTTCAGCTGTTCCATTTTTATTTCTGGTTTGTATACCATAGTTCTCAGTTCCTATCAAAGGAAACCCATCTCTGCACATTTTGATTAGGTGAGGAAAATGGTCATCTCACCTAATTTTTTTTTTCCCCTTCTGCTACTGGACATGGGTTTTCTGAGTGCTGCCTATACACAGTAATTGTCCTGATACGCTTACTTCTAAACAGAACAAGTAAATATGCCTTACTGAAGCTGATATTTTTCAGTAAGTGTACATGACCAAAAGGAGACACTTTTTTGGAGGGGAAAGAAATCCACAAGTTCAAGTTGCTTTTGTGTCATCTTTGTCTCTGCTTGTTCACAAAAATGCGTATCTCAGAGTACCACAATGGTTGGTAATTCTCCTAACCTTTTAGCACAACAGGCTAGTGCCTGCCAGAACTTTTCCAAGTCACTGTTTTACTACTTCACTTCATGATAATGTATTTCAGTTAGAAAAACCAAACCCCTAATATTTAACCAAATATGTTTGTTGGTGGATTCCATTTGTTCATAATTCAGTATGTCGAAGGAGCTACAGTTTTTTTTTTTTTTTTTTTTTTAATCTTAATATTTGTATTGCTATTGTAAAATTCAACTCCCGTGGAGTAAGATGATAAACATCTTGCACAAAAATAAAGGTTAGTAAGGTTATTTAGCAGTCTGTTAGCAATTAGTTACCTTCTAATACAGCATGTAGTTTTGTCTGTTCCAGATATACCCTCCACCTTGGATGAAATTTCATTATAAAGGAAAATTGATATGTAAAGGATTCTGCTTCTCTGAAGAGATAGTAGCATACTGTGAATAAAAATGAGATATTGGTAACTAATGGAAACAAGTCCCTCCAAGTAGCCATTTCTGTCTGGGAAGAGCAGCAATATCACTGAGCATAAGCTCATCCCTAACTACACTAATTCAGAACACTTCTAGCTGTACATCTCTTTTCTGCTTTATTTCTGCTGCGTACTTTAAATAATTTGAGGATTTCATTTAGGCCTTTTCTGACTCTCTTGCTTCTACCTTCTTTCTTCACCTTTCTTGACCTGTTGAAGTAGAATAACAAAAAGATGGTAAGTGAGGTGCCCCCCTGTGCTGTTTGTTTCCCATTTTTGCTTGATGGGACCTGGTAGCTGTTATGTTCTTTTGACGCTTTTTAATGTTTTGTCTTGTCCCACATTTTACATTTGAATACATACTTATTTTAAAATTCGTTCATTGCTTTTATTTAACAGCAACTTTTTCCATAAGATTATCTTACTGCTTCTGAATGTGACATGACCTCTAGTTACGTGTAGATGCAAGAATAACACTTTTCTAGGGTGAAAGTCAGCTTGGTGTTCTTAACACTTTAAACTGCTTTATCTAATACAACAAAATGAGGGTTGGAAACGATTCTCAAATTTCAGCTATCCAAACATTGGTCCCAGTACAAAGGGATGAAAAATATTATGTACCTTGACACTGATCCCTATTTAAGAGTTTAATGCTACTCTCCCTTCCCCCATGGGTTTGTGTGTGTGTGGGATGTTTTTTTTAGCATGCTCCTGAAGAGAATTGTTTTTCCTCCCTTTAATTTTGTTTAAGATGATTTGAGGGTTTTGTGTGACTTTCATCGTGCTTTAGAATTGCAGCTTTTCCTTTGGCCATGTCTATTCCTAGGTATACAAATCGAAAGCAAAACAAATTTCACTGAGGTCCTTTTAACTGGCAACTGTTAAATAAAATCAGAATTATGTGAACTCTGTGATAGTTGTATAGTAACTTGGTAATAGGTTTGGAAGGTTCATCCAGTCATGAACCTTCTAAAGCTTAGGAGGTTAGATTTCTGATTTCTTCCTATAAAAGTGCTAAATGTTCTAAAAATGATCTATAAAATCCAGAAAAGTTAGTAATGGACTTGATGGGGGGCATGTGATATAAACCACATTATAAACTGCTTTCCTTACTTGCTACCAGTAACACCTTAGATTATTAAAGCTAGAAATGGTTTTACAATTCCAATTGGATTTTTCAACGTATATTTATCTTGCTTCTCTTGTCTTGGACAAAGAGATCAGCTGAGTCATGTTCATGCTGAGACTTAGGTTAGTACCACAATGGTTGCAAGCTCTGTACCAGAGCAGCTCTTTGTTCAAAAGCAGCTGTTTTCCTTATTACATTGTAAATAGAATTCATAGGAAGAAATTCATAGAATGGAATGGAAATAGAATTCATAGAATTGTACTTGTATTGGTACTTATAGAAATGTGTTCTTAGAAAAGAGGATGAAATTTGAATTTTCTTTTTTTAAATACGGTATTAGGCCAGGTCTTGAGACTTTTTCTGGAAGAGC